ATTCCTGCTCTGTGCTTTTTTTCATACTATTTTTCCTCCCTGGAATGCTAACCCTCTTTATCTCCCACCCATTTTTTACTTTTCCATTCAAACTGCACCTCCTCTAGGAAGCCTTCCCTGATTACTTCAGTTTACTCTTATTTTCCCCCTTTTTTTTTTTTTGGAGAGGTTTTTGCTACAGGACGCATGTGCTCACCAGAAAGACAGAAAGACAGAGAGACAGAAAATGAGAAATCACCCCCCATGGGGGATGGCCACACCGCAATCCCTTCTCCTCCGTTCTCCTCTCAGGATCTTGGGCACGCATGCACACGCGCCCAGTGTGAGTTTAAGCCGCCAGGTCCGGGACTTGAACCACGGTCGACTACATGGGAGTCCAGTGACATAGCCATTACACTAACTGCTGGTTCCTCATTTTCCCCTTCTTCAAACTCTCTCAGCAGTCAAAGTCAGAATCATGTAACTGAACACACAGAATTTTTTTTCTTTTTCTTTTTCTTTCTTTTGTTAACCTCCCTAGGGCACATGCACTCACCCGAGAGAGGGTCGGAGAGAGACAGTGAGAGGGAAAGTGAGAAATCACTCCTCAATCACTCCTCAGGGGGATGGCTACAATCCCTTCTCCTCCATTCTCCGCCTGGCATGATTTATTTAATTTAATTAATTAATTTTTTTTTTTTTAGGGCACGGGCACTCACCAGAGAGACAAAGAGACAGAAAGGGAGAAATCACACACATAGACACACCCTGCAATACCTTCTCCTTCATTCTACTCTCAGGATCTTGGACACACATGCATACATGCCCAGCATGAGTTTTAAGCCACCGGGTTCAGGACTTGAACCACGGTCAACTACATGGGAGTCCCGCGACATAGCCATTACACTAACTGCTGGTCCCTGATTTTCAAGCCACCGGTCTGAGACTTGAACCGCAGTTGGCCAGTGGGAGTCCAGCATGTTAACCAGCATGCCACCCGCTGGCCCCAACACACTGATATTTTTCACAGTACTTTCTTGGGTTTGGGCCTTGTCCAGTCAGGAAGTTGACACATTCCTTAAGAACAGTTGGTATGTTCTCTCCTCCCCTACTACCTGCTTCCTGCACATTGTCCTGTGCTAGGTTCCCAGTATGTGTCCAGTAAAGACTGATCAATTCATGCATCCATCTGCCCAGGTTTGGCCAAGGAAAGCCGAGGTCCTGGTTCTTTCTGGCTGAGAGCTCAAGCTGAGGTAAAAAGCAGAGGCAGAGGACCAGTTTCTGCTGACTTTGCTTTTTCTTTACTGCTGCTCAGGCTACAGAATTAGCAGGGTCTTCAGGTGAGCCCTCTACGTGGAGACCTTGAAACTAGACTGATCCCTCAGTTAATGGTTGACAGTCTCTGTTTACCTTAATGATTGCCAAGATTCGTTGCTGCACACGATACATTTTGCAGCTCAACTGCCTTGGCCCTGAGGGTAGAAGGCAATCTCTGAGTAGGTTTTAGTGTTCTGGGATGGGATCAGAAATACTTTAGTTTGTCCCTATCCACTCAGGACATAGATAATAAGCAAGTGGTCAAAGGGTACCCTGGGGTCCAGCTGTGGTAGCACAGCAGTAGCATAATACTCTGTAATGCCAGAAGCCATGTGAAAGATTAGGGTTCTGGGATCAGCAGTTGGCATAATGGCTGTGTTGCTGGACTCCCATGTAGTCGACCACAGTTCGAGTCCCGGACCTGGTGGCTTAAACTCACGTTGGGTGCATGTGCATGCATGCCCACAATCCTGAGAAGAGAATGGAGGAGAAGGGATTGTGGCATGGCATCCCCCGGAGGGGGGGGTGATTTCTCACTTTCTGTCTCTCTCTCTCTGTCTTTCTGGCAAGAGAATGTGCCCTATAGAAAAAATCTCTCTCAAAAAAAAAAAAAAAAAGAAAAGAAAAGAAAAGAAGAAGATGAAGGGGTTCTGTTCCTGGATCAACCTGTACATCCCAGGTGAACACACATGTACATGATCCTGGCTGTCTGGGAAGAATTCATGTGGTGGTGATTTATGGTAAGAAAAGAAAAGAAAAGAAAAGAAAAGAAAAGAAAAGAAAAGAAAAGAAAAGAAAAGAAAAGAAAAGAAAAGAAAAGAAAAGAAAAGAAAAGAAAAGAAAAGAAAAGAAAAGAAAAGAAAAGAAAAAAGAAAAGAAAAGAAAAGAAAAGACAAAATGAAACAAAGAACTCTGGTACTGCCATATGGGTGGGAAACACTACTGTCCCCTCCCTTGACCTCAGGTGCCAGTGGGCTTCACCCATTGGCTTTGTTCTCCCTGTTGCCGTGTAGTTGTAGACATGGGAGCTGGAAGGGGCAGTGGGGATGGCAGCCCACGCAGGAGCCCTCTCTCTACAGCTTGCCCAAGGACAAGGGGCAGGGGAAGGCTGAGGAATGTTGAGGAAGCCAGGTCCAGTTCAGTCTCCCAGACAGGCTAAACATGAGCACGTGAGTGAGTGACGATGTCTCTCTCCCTCTAGGACAGGGCTGTGACTCCAGGCTATTCTATCTATCTCTCCAAATCCATTGGGAGCTCAGGGAATCAATCTTGTTTAATGATTGAGTGTGGAAGGAGGTGGGGCTGGTTAATGTTTGTCTGGTTCCTCTTGGGCTGTGGGCCATTTCTGGCTCTGGCTCTGGGCTCATTGTCCCTCCCCTGGGCTGGGCTGACGGTACCTAGTTGCATAGGCAGGCACGCCTGCAGACATTCTCTGAGAAAGGGCAGCAGCAGCCAGGTCTGACAGTGTCGGGGAGGTGAGGAGGCTGGGGGTGAGGGAGGTGGGCCAGGGAGGGCTGGTGTGGCACGGGGGCAGAACTGGGGACTGGGAGAGGCCCGGGTCTTGCCTTCTCTTGACCTCATCATTCAGCCACTTAGGTCTGTTCCATGCTCCCTCCAAGCTGGTATGTCGCTCCTTCTGCCAGGTGCCAGGCTTGCTCCACCTCTCTCCGCAGCCCCCTACTCTTATCCTCTTTCCAGGCTCACAGTTGTTTCTCTTCTCACTCATTTTCACCCAGCCAAGGATTCCCCTCATCCCAAAAGCCAGAGTCCCAGGAAGACTTGAAGGACCCCCTAAGGCACAGACTGGCCAAGACATTTTTCTGTCACACAAGACGAGGGTTCGGTGGGATAGATAGGCACTACCAGCTACTGTTTTCCTTTCTGGTTATAAGACGCAACAGACATGCACCCAACACAGAGTTGGGAGTGGATGAATCCAGTGTGCTGAGCAGGCCACAGAGGGCTAGTCTACAGGGGGAAGGATTTGGGACCATGCATTTGCATTTTCTTAAGGGAGCCAGGCAGACTCAAGCTGAGCTAGGAGTAACTAATGGTTTGGGGAATCTCAAGGAGGGGGCCCCCAAGCTGTCTGAAAAGTTGTTCCAGCTGTTGGGAATGGCCCAGTAGAATGCATGGACCTAGAAAATGAGATGAGGAGATGAGAATACAGACAAGAGGGGTTGAAATGCAGAGACGTATCGATGACAATGCAGCATAGCAAAGGAGAAAGGATCCAGGCTTGGGTGAGAGGCCAACATGATCCCAAGTCTGAGCTCCAGCTCTTGTTGAACAGCTGTGTGATAAGTTACTCAGCTTCTTTGGCCCTCCCTGGCATCATCTGTGAATTGAAAACCATAGCTTGTGGCTCACAGGGTTGTTGTGAAGATGAGAGTTTATGAACATACATCTCCTAGCACACAGTAGGCTTTCCATAAATGGTACTGTTATGCTAAACCCAAGCAGAGAGCAACAGGAAGCCAGACGGGGAATGGAGGAGAGAAGGGGATAGCCCAAGCAAAGGGTAATGGAGCGAACATTAGCAGAGGTTCTATGACAAGACCACAGCAGAAAGAGGGGAAGAGAACATTGGAATGAGATAGACTGGACCTGACTCAAGCCCAACGACACAGCACATATGGCAGAGTGGAGAGACTGAGTCCAGTGACTGAGTTACTGTAGAACCACAGTGTGGAGGCAGGGAAGAGAAGCAGGGGGAAGAAGCGAGCTGGAGGAGTTAGACCTTCGCCACACCAAATGGATGAAGGCAGCTAGAGATTCAGAAGGACATCTCCCAAAAAACCCCGTGTCCCTTCCTGACCAGCAGCTGCCTGTGACATGGGAGAGGGAGCATGGAGGCAGAGGCTGAATGTGATCTCAGCCAGCCTAGCCAGGCTCCTCTTCCTCAAACCCAAAGTAAACACAAGGATGTTCCTGCAGTTGGAAGGAAGGACGGGGAAGAGGTGGGAGCAGCAAGAGAGAGACACGTGTGTGCACACATGCCAGTGTGCATAAGCAGGAGTACTGGTTTCTGAGCTGTGGGTCTGATCCCAGGATGCAAAGCCCTCAGAGAGGTCACTAGAAGCAGTACTATGTACAAAGGTTTGGAGGTCAGAGGAAAATCTATTTGCAGTTTGGTTGCACTGCTTAGCTTAGCAGCATTGCAAGTTACTCTCTGAGCCTCAGTCTTGTCTGAAAAATGGGAAGAATATTATAGGATTGTTGTAAGAGCTTAGTGTGATCCCCTGATTTTGTACTGTGCTTGAGTGTGTGTGTGGGGGGGGGAATCTAACTCTGAAAACAGGGTCAAAACCTGAGAGGCGGCCAGAGAAGTTCCGTCTAATTAAACAGGAGAAAGAAATCCGCCCAGAGCAACACAGAACGTATCAATACCTGGACTTTAACCCAGTCTTGAAAACCGTTTGGATTTCAAAATCAGGTCACTCCCCTGGATTTTTTTTTTTTTAATGCAACCCTTGAGGGACTGGTGTTGACACAAGGATCAGTTCTCCTTCCAAAAGGGAATGGAAAAACTGAGATCCCAGTGCCCACACAAGGGTCCTTCGGACCCCAAAAGGAGCTGCTGGCTATGTCCCAGAGGGCTCAAGAAGATAAGAGGCCAGAGAGCTCAAGAGCTCTAGAAACTGGAGGGTGGGGCAGGACGTCTGCGGGGCACCCCTGGGGGCAGAGAGACGAGAACAACTAAGGTTTGGTTTGGAGTTGGAGGAAGCAGCCCAAGAAAGATAAGGAAAGGAAAAACAGACCAAGTCAGGAGGCAATGGGAAACTCTGGGAAAGAAGGAGAAAAAAAGAGTTGTTGATTAATAGGAAAGGGGAGTGGGGGCTAAAGAGGAATAAAAGATCAGTCCGGAATCGCCACATACCTAAAAAAATAGCCAAAGTTACAATTCTATCCAAGGCAGCAGGGCTTATGGGAAACACTTTGGAGTCAACATGACCTGGCTCAAATCCCAGCTCTGTCACTTACTGTGTGACACATCCCTTCACCTTTCTTTGTCTCAGTTTCCTCATCTGTGACAGGATAAAACCAAAATGTGCCTTATTAGGTTATTCTGGGGACTATGTGAGAGAATGCATGTGTGAGGGCCTGGCACAGATCAGTTGCTCAGTAGATGGTCCTTTTTTTTTTTTTTTTTTTTTTTTTTTGTTGTTGTTAAATTGCCAGAGTGCACTGGTCAGAAGAGGGCGGAAGCACTTCCTTGGTAGATGGTTATGCCACAATCCCTTCTCCATTTCTCCCTCCTTTTGGGATTCTGAGCCCATATGCACACATGCCCAGCATGTTTTCTAAGCCTCCAGATCCGAGATTCGAACCACACAGTTGGCTATGTGCGATCCTGCTGCTTTAATCACCATACCACTGGCTAGCCCATCTGTCAGGATTTGAGGCATACACACACATACTCAGTTTGGTTTGTAAGCCTCAGGGACCAGGATTCATACCACGTGGTCAACCACATGAGACCCAGCTTCCTTAACCACTGTGCCATGGAACCAATCCAGTGAATGGTTGTTCTATAATCACTCTCAGCCAGCTGCTTGAGAGTGACATATCTCACCAGCTGAAGCGTTTCTTTTTTTTTTTTTTTTTTAAGACTTTTGCCATAGGGCACCTGTACGCTCCAGAGAGAGACAGAGAGGGAGAGGGAAAATGAGAAATCACCCCCGAGAGGAGATGGCCATGCCACAGTCCCTTCTCCATTCTCTCTGGATTTTAGGTTTGCACACACACACTGTTCTGGTGTGTTTCTCAAGCTACTGGGTCGGGGACTCAAACCACAGAGTTGACAATATGTGACACAGTGCCTTAACCACCACACTACCTGTTGGCCCCATTTCTTCCTTTTTTAAAAAAATCTTTGATCCTCTCTTTCATATCCAAAATCTTTTCTCTGCTCATTCCCACCTTGAACATGCCTTGATAAATCTTTCTGTTATATTTTCTTTTCTTTTCTTTTTGGAGAGGTTTTTGGTACGCGTGCGCTCACCAGAAAGACAGAGAGAGAGAGACAGAAAGAGAGAAATCACCCCCCGGGGAGATGGCCATGCCGCAATCCCTTCTCCTCCATTCTCCTCTTGAGATCTTGGGCACGCACGCACACGCGCCCGGCGTGAGTTTAAGCCACCGGGTCCGGGACTCAAACTGCGGTCAACTACATGGGAGTCCAGCGACATAGCCATTACGCTAACTGCTGGTCCCTATTTTTTTTCTATAAATCTTTTTTGTTATATGTTCTAAAATTAAGTTTCTTTTGGGGCCAGCCAGTGGTGTAGTGGTTAAGGTGGCTGAGTCCCACATGGCTGACTGTGTAGTTCGATGATTTGAAAAAACACACACATGTGTTCATTTGCACCCAGAATCCCCAAAAGAGGGAGAAATGGAGAGAAAGGGTTTGTGGTGTGACCATGTCCCACAGGGAATGCTTTCTCTCATTCTGGTGAGCACATGCATCCTCTGGCAAATTTTTTTTAAATCCCAGGTTTGGAAGGAGTCTCCTATATCCTGTAGACCTCCTTTCACCAGTTTCTTCATCCCATTCCCCAACTTTTCCAGTTACCTTTACCTTACCTTACCCCTTCCCTGTACTACAAGGAGAACCATTCAGAGCTCAATATGGAACTTCCACACCACTGTGCGTACTATGGAGCATGTGTTGGGGGCAGGAAAGGCCCTGGCTTTCCTGTGGTCAAGCCTGTGTGTTCTCCTCACATGCAGTTCCTGCTTCTAGCGTGATCCTTTTCTTTTCTTTTCTTTTCTTTTCTTTTTTTTTTTTTTTGGAGAGGTTTTTGCGATAGCTCGCCAGCCAGACACAGACAGAGAGACAGTAAGCGAAAGACAAAGACAGACAGAGATAGAAAGCGAGAAATCAGGCCCCAGGGGGGATGGCCACGCCGCAATCCCTTCTCCTCCATTCTCCTCTCGGGATCTTGGGCACACACGCACACGCGCCCGGCATGAGTTTAAGCCACTGGGTCCAGGACTCGAACTGTGGCCGACTACATGGGAGTCAAATGACATAATCATTACACTAACTGCTGGTCCCCTCTAGCGTGATCCTCATGCAACTTTATGGTAGAAGTGGTGGGAGATGGGGAGAGGCCTTTCCCGCCTAAAGAGAGAGTAGAATTTCCTTCCTAGAGCAACTGGCAATCTCATGAAAGCAGAAGGTCATGGTATACACTTGAAGGTGGGAGCGGGGCAGCGACAGAGCTGTCTGTTCTATCTCAGACAGACACTATAGGTCAACCACAGCATTGGGGTGACAACAGGGAGATCTTGGATTTGGCAGACCACTGAAGTCTGTCAAAGCAGCACTGTTTTCTCTTCCTGAGAAGGTTTTTAATCTCCTTGATCGCTGACTATGAAATTGGGACTAGGCTCGGAACTTTTGCAAGTTGTCCACTGAGCCACGCAATCGCCCTGAGGCTTAGAGAAGTTCAGTTGCTAGCCCGAGGTTATATGAGGTGAAGAACCAGGATTCAAACCCAAAGTAATATTCCCTCTCCTAACCTGTTCCCTTAGTGACCTTTTGCATTCTCCTTCTGGCTTATACTCATCGTATTGCCCACCTGTATGGGTTCCCTTTCCTGAAACTCAAGGAGAAATAGTCAGGGTTTGATCCATGACACTGGCGTTGCAATGTGCTCACAGGTCAACGGCTTCCACGCTTCTTGTGCTTTTATGGGTACCATTAGCCTCTTTTTATTTTTTTTTTTCTTCTTTTTTTTTTTTTTTTTTTAATGGCTAGCCTTTGTTTTTGCTGACACCACCAGCAAAAGCACCAGGAGTCTGCAGTGGAAATAGCATAGGCTTTGGCTTCAGCTACTTTTGTGTTTCATCCTACCCTCTACTTTCTAGCTGTGTGACCTTGAATGAGTTTCTTTTCTGACCTTCAGTTTCCTCATCTGGAAAATGGGATAACAAGCTTGTTAAGTAGGTTGATAGAATGTATGGAAAAACACTTAAGCGCAGTTCCTGCTTGATAAATCTGAGCTCTCTTTCCTGTCTTCTAGCTCACCCATACCCTGGAGAGGATCTATGCCTAGGAAAAAATCCTGCTGAGCCTAAGTTTCTGATAGGGCCATGGGGGAGGGCCTCAGCCCAGAGTCTGCTGGTCCCCTGGTGTCCCCTCTTACATGCACCTGTCTGTGTTCCATCTCCCTCCTCCCCCCCCAACCGTGGCCATTCTTCTGGTGGGGCTATGGGGCGGGTGCGGCGATGGACCGGGCGGGCACAGAACAGGTGGGTGCAGGCTGGGGGTCCGGCGCTGGGACACAAGTGCTCTGTGTGTAGGGTGGGCGGAAGTCAGGGCGTTTGATCTGAATTCTAAAGGGCGTTGTTCAGAGCCCCACAAAGGTCCCATTGTGCACACACTGGGTATAAAGCAGCATATGACTCCCCAGCACCGGGCGGCGATGAATTGGGACGCAGGCGCGGACCCAGGGACCACTCCCCCTGCACAGACATGAGACCATAGGGGACCTGTCTGGGTGGCCTCAGGGATAGGCGCTCCCCAAGGTAACTGGGCTTGGCTGGGTTTGCCCCAGGTCAGAAATGAAGGAGCTGGGGGATGAGGAGCCTGAGGGGTTGGCTGACAGCAGAACAAGATGGCTCTGACAAAGAAAGGGGCTGGAGGGAGAAGAATATTGGATGAAAGCAAAGAAGGGGGATGGGGCTGCGGGAGGTCAAGTCAAGTGAGTGAGGAGGAGGAGAGGCTGGCAAGGGAGACCGGGCGATGAGGAAAGCCATGACTATCCTTCCTTTCCTTCCACTGGCTTTCAGAAGAGGTGCGTGTGTGGGAGGGGGTGGTCTGGCAGTGTCATAACGCCTGGCTTCCTGCCCCAGCTTTTTGACAGTGGACTTCGTGGCTCATGTTTTGCAGGTGTGAATGAGGCAGGATGAACTGGACAGGTTTGTACACCTTGCTCAGTGGCGTGAACCGGCATTCCACTGCCATTGGCCGAGTATGGCTCTCGGTCATCTTCATCTTCAGAATCATGGTGCTGGTGGTGGCTGCAGAGAGTGTGTGGGGTGATGAGAAGTCTTCATTCATCTGCAACACCCTCCAGCCCGGCTGCAACAGCGTCTGCTATGACCACTTTTTCCCCATTTCCCATGTGCGTCTGTGGTCCCTGCAGCTCATCCTGGTTTCCACCCCAGCTCTCCTCGTGGCCATGCACGTGGCTCACCAGCAGCACCTAGAGAAGAAGATGCTGCGTCTTGAGGGCCATGGGGACCCCCTACACCTGGAGGAGGTGAAGAGGCACAAGGTCCACATCTCAGGGACTCTGTGGTGGACCTATGTCATCAGCGTGGTGTTCCGGCTGCTGTTTGAAGCTGTCTTCATGTATGTCTTTTATCTGCTCTACCCTGGCTATGCCATGGTACGGCTGGTCAAGTGTGAGGCCTACCCCTGCCCCAACACAGTGGACTGCTTCGTGTCCCGCCCCACCGAGAAAACGGTCTTCACCGTCTTTATGCTAGCCGCCTCTGGCATCTGCATCATCCTCAACGTGGCTGAGGTGGTGTACCTCATCATCAGGGCCTGTGCCCGCCGAGCCCAGCGCCGTTCCAATCCACCCTCCCGCAAGGGATCGGGCTTCGGCCACCGCTTGTCACCTGAGTACAAGCAGAATGAGATCAACAAGCTGCTGAGTGAGCAGGACGGCTCACTGAAAGACTTACTGCGCCGCAGCCCCGGCACTGGGGCGGGCCTGGCTGAGAAGAGCGACCGCTGCTCAGCCTGCTGATGCCATGTACCAGGCAACCTCCCATCCTGTTCCCCAGCCTGCCCTGGGCCTACCCCTCTTTCTCCCCCGCCAGTGCACAGGCCTCTGCCTGCTAGGGATTACTCCATCAAACCCTTCCTTCTCTCCCCAGTTCCCTTCCTCCCAGGGCCTCTGTCTGAGGAGTCAGAGGGGTGGAGAGCTGGAGGCCACCTACACCCGGTGCTCAAGGTTATTAGGGGTGTGGGCAGTTCTTGTTGCCGGCACCTCTTCCTCATCCCCCTCTCTCTCCCTGAGACCACTGGGAACAGAAGATGGGATGCTCTGACAGTGTCTCCAATTCTGAAACTAATCTTAACCCTGTGCTGTCAGATACCCTATTTCTGGAGTCACATCGGTGGGGAGGGAAGTAGGTAAATGGAGTGGAGGGTGGGTGCTGTGGACATGTGGGTGGAGAAGGGAGGGTGGCAAGCACAAGAAAAGGAGGAACAGCACTTTCCAGCTGGCCCGGAAGAAGAGGGAGACATGTCTGGGGCAAGGGAGTTAGGGTAGGAAGAGCAGGCAGATAAGTTAGAGTGGGGGTTAGTCAGATCTGCCTCTGCCTCTCGTCCCCAAGGCCTCTCTTTGCCTGAAATGTTACACATTAAACAGGATTTTACAGTAAATGAAGAAGTGGCTTGTGTGTTTGTCAAGTTCTTTCTCCACAACCTCTGACCTTCTGGATGAGCTGACCCTAGACTTTTTGCTGATCAAGAAAGGAACGGGGCAAAAGAAATAGTGACCTGAGTAGCTGAAGCTGTAAATGAGGAACCACAGTTTTCCTAGCCCAGCAAGCCAGGCCCCGAGCCACTCTCCTGGGTATTGTTGTTCTTCTTCTCGGTGTTTCTGTTTTTTCTTCATTTTTAAATAACAGCTTTATTGGGATCTAATGTACCTCTTTCCTCTGCTTTTAAAAAGATTAAAATGACAACTCTCTCTGGAGAGATAGGAAATGCTAGAAAAAATTTCTCACATCCAGAAGAGTGGATTCCCTGGGTACCTTGGCAAGGGCCCCCTCTCCTGCACTTCTAGAAGAGCTGTCTCCTTACTCCCTGGAAACTCAGTGTTCCTTGCAAATCAGTGTACACAATCTACTATGGCCCTTTCCTCTCGACAAGCCCTAATTCCATCCTCCTTCCCTTAGGAATCAGTGTCCCCACCTCAGACATGTATCTACTGTGGGCCAAACACTTCACGGTAGCAGTTTCTTGCCCAATATCACCCTCTCCCTGTCAGCAATGGTAAGAAAAGCCCCAGACTGGGACTTCACTAAGCTGGGTTCAAGTCCTCATTCTGTCACTTATTAGCAGGGTATTTCCTTCCCCCAGTTCCCAGTATCTTGGTTTTTTTGTTTGTTTTTAAAGTTTATTTATTGTATTCATGTGCACACACATGAGAGAGTGAAGTACCCTCAACAGGAACTTGTCACACCACAATCCCCTGTCCCCAGCGCTTCTGTTTCTCCTCAGGGTCTTGGGCACACACATTCAGTGTGTTTTTCAGGCTGAGCTGGGGATCCAAACCTGCAGTTGGCCACGTGGCTTCTAGCATTGTAGTTCACTTTTCTACTGAATAGGCCACCAGGATCAGTTTCCTTGTGAGCAAACCAGAGCTGGCCTTCCACATCTTAAAGCTCCCTTCAACACTGTACTTTTGGGTTCCTAAAAGACTTTCTTAGCCTCACAAGGATTTTCCTTCTCAGGGTCACTGCCCTCACAAACGGTCCCTCCGTGTCAAATTCCCCTCATGAAAAGTTTTCTTCCTCACCTTCCCTACCTCCTAACGGGAGAAATTATTCTAACAGGAGAAATTATTTGCCACTCCCCTCAGAGTATGTGCACTCCACGTGGGAAGTAAATCAGAAAGAGAAATTCAGGTATAATTTCATCAAAATTATACTCCCTCTCAAAACAGTTTTCTCCTTCAGAGAAAAAAGCACAGACAATCGCCTCATTCAAGGAGATTTCTCCAGAAAAGAAAAGAGAGAGTAAGTATTCCTTTCCACTTCACTTAGCAACCCCCTGATTGACAGCTTCTCCTCTCTTAAAAGACAAACATTCCTTTCCCTGCAAGAAATTTCCTTTCTCTTTAGAAACTGACATCACACCCTGTCAGGGGAGAGGTCCCCACCCCCTTCATGGTGGGAGTGATTTCTTTTCTTATTGAAATCCATCTCCTTCACCCATCATCCACCACAACACACACACACACACACACACAGAGCATCCCCTCTCCATCAAAAAAAAATAAAAAAACACAAAATTTAAAAAAAAAAAACCCGCCATCAAGAGAAAGATTTTGTTTTCAAAATTCCGTTCTGGAGCCAGAGGACCCCTCATGCCCTCCTCACATTGAGAAATGCAAACACATCATCACCTCAGAAATATAGTTGCTCTTCGGAAGAGTCTACCAATCCTCCTCAGAAAGAGGCTCCAACTCTAGATCTAGACTTTCCTCTCCAGGGGGCAGTGGTGGGACAATAAAGCTATGAGCCGGGTGGTACAGCCCGGAGGAGGACATATGATTCTTGTGTCCTGTGAATGAGATGAGAACAGGCCAAAGAAAACTGTAAGGGAGCTGATGAACATAATGTCTCAGGGAGGTAGTGGAGAGAGTCAGGCTGACCCCAAGACTGACTCATTTCATTGAGGCTCTACCACAAGAATATAAAGGAAAGACATTGAGTAAAGTGGAAATTAGTACCTGCCATATACTAGACACCCCATGTGCTGAGTGACCAGGATAGTGAAGATGACATGGAAATGAGGAGACTTGGCTCTGCATTGATTAGCTGTGTCCCCTTGGATACAGCCTCAATGTCCTCATCTGCAACATAGAATTAATAATAACCTTTTCACCTCTTTTAGAGATTTTATGAGGATCAAAAAATATGTGCTCTGGGCTGGCAGGTGGTTAAGGCACTGGATTCCTACATGGCTGACGCAGTTCAAGTCCTGGACCTGGTGGCTTGCTTTCTCTCTCTCTCTCTGGTGAAACTGAAGAATAATGATAATAAATAAAATTAAATACATATTTTTTAAAAATATATATTTAAAAGAAAAAGATGTGCTCAAAAGCTGGCTATAAGCAGCTAACCTCAGGGTCCACCTGTGGCAAAGTGGTTGGGGCAGGTGGATCCCACATGGCCAACTGCCCAGTTCGTGTCTTGAACCCCGTGGCTTGAGAAACACACCTGGCACATGTGTATATTGCCTGGAATCCCAAATCGAGGGAGAGATGGAGAAGGGAATGCACCATGACCATTTCCCATAGAAGGTGTTTTCTCACTTTTCTTCTCTGTCTGTCTCTCTCCATCCAAGAGGAGGGATCCAAGCAGTGGCACAATGGCAACACAAGTGGTCCCACATGAGTCTTATCTTGGCTCCTCCATGAGCATGCTGGATGCATGCACACATGCCTATGATCTAGGATAACAGACTGAGTGTGGATCACAGCATGAAGACCCTGTTGGTAGGAGTCTTTCTCCCCCCACACACACACTCTCTCAGAAAAAAAATAAATGAATAAAGTTTTTTTAAAAAATTGGTTATAAATTGGGGTTGGCAGGTGGCATGATGGTTAAGGGTGCTGGACTCCCACATGGCTGACCATGTTTTGATTCCCGGATCTGGTGGCTTGCTGTTTCACTTTCTCTCTCTCTCTCTCTCACCCACTTGCTTGTTCTTTCCCTCTCTGGTCAAATTTAAAAAACAAACAAATAACATTAAATAAAATAATTCTTTAATAAATAAATAAATAAATAAATAAACTGTAAAGCAAAATAGTATCACAGACACTGATACCATGGCCTTAAGATATACTAGAACCCTAGATGAGCCAGAAAGGGGTGAGGCTGATTTGGCTAAGCTGAAGCTAGCTGAAACAACTTGGCAGTGATAGGATTGTCTCCCCCAGGGAGCAGACAGTAGTACAAACAACAAAGTCCAAGAGATGTTGCAAACTTCACCATGATCTACTTAAGGATCAATATTCAAGGGATCTGATATGGAAGCAGAAAAGGCCAAGTGACAAGAGGTTCTGGAGCATTGTCTCTCTCATACTACTAGTGCTTTTAGAGACAACTAAGAACTTTCAGAGGCGTCTATGCACAGAGATGCTAGGAGCTGGAGGCGTAGGGACAGAATCAGCTCCTGGAGGAAGAGGCTGGCTGAACTAGGAGAGTAGTCAAGGCCCCAGGCAGCTGAGTGCAGATTTTAAAGCAAGCTGCAGTATCCATAGAGAATTGGCATGGCAACCACAAACTGGTTCAGATGCTCAATCAGATAGCCTGGTTGTACACAGTGGGGACTAGAGGGGAATGCTTGCTCCATTTACTGATTCTACAATATTTAAATGCTAGACCTGACCTATGGTAGAGAAGGAGCTATACAATACTACCAAGTGAGGCTCCTTTCATTCCTGGACTAGGCCAGGCTGAACCTATAGGGTTAAGTGGAGAAAGGATTGATGCATTCTAGGGAAGGGGGATAAAAGCAGATTTAAAAAAAAAGAAACACCCAAACCATATGGATATCTGAAAGGGCATAGTATATTTTCAGAGTTAGATAAATAATCTTCTGTGAAGGATGTGAGGAGTGGAATGGCTACAGGGTACATGTGAAAGATAAACTATGACCAGTGTGTGATGGGCCTGATGTGTCACTATAAGGGGTTAAGACTGTCCTAAAGGTAGTGGGAAGATAAGGATTTGGAGGAGAGGCGGTACACCTCAGACTGGAGTGTTTGGAAGCTCACTCCAGCAGCCACAGAGCG